ATATAAAGTATGCGCAAACACCCTTGCAATGCTTGGTTTGAAGCACGAAGGACAAGATATTGCCAGGTCTTGAAGGGGACAGTAGAGTAAGGCCGCGTCAGGTTCGAACCACGTGCATTCCTGTCGCTAATTTCGCGCCTTAGCCACTGAGTTATTTCCAGTCTCGGTTGACGTAGTGCATTTTTCGTTGACCTCGTAACACGACCATTCTTGTGGTTCTTTTGTCAAGGATGATTTATGAAAACTGTGTTTGTATACATCATTGTGATATCTTCAAAAGCACGATGATTGGATTATTGAGGAATTTTCGGGCTAGTGTTGATGTCTTGCCTTGTATGACTGAAAGAATGAACATGATTCAACGTTGCCCATGCGTGCGCATCCAACGTGGACATTCGAGAGGTTTCTCATTGAGGCAGCCTGTTATCTCTCCCATACGTGTTCACCGGCAACAACGACTGAAGCGAAACAAGCTTAGTTTCCAAATCGGTCACCACGGTAACCAGGCGAATTTCAATTCCATATGAATTCCGGTTGAACCCGTTAATCTACTTTCGTCTAATAACATGTTCTTGACTGTCCTCTAGTGCGATGCACCGTTTGATACGGCTCATTTAAATACAACTTCCTAATGAGCATCTTGCACCGTATTTTGGTTTATCGTATGCTCTGAATCGATATGCTTGAGAATATCGAACTTATCCACATATGAAACGTGTGGTTTAGGCCTGTTCCAATCGTGTTTTATACCAACATACCTGCTTGCTCAGAATCTCAGAACCAGCAGAATTTTCTCTTGAACATTCGATCGGGATGCTGTACCCAGTTATTGGAACGCAATTTATGGAACGTCAGCTCGTACAACAAAAGGCGTGTGGTGAATCCTCCTGCCTGAATAACACAATCGTGGAAAAAATAGCAGTCGGTTCCTAGCTGCGATGCCATCCGAAGGAACCACGAGGGCTGGGATACTGCCAGGTAGGCCAACCCGAGACAGGAGAACTCGAGATGCAGAGTTTGGGTTTGAACCACGGACCTTCCGGTCGGTAAATTCGCGCTCTAATCGCTGAGCAATCTTATAAACGTAACTTCATCACCGTGACCGGTTGTGGTCTAGACTATTCAACGAGAATCTCTGACTCTAGCCATGAAGGTGCTAAAGTGATCAACTGAACACTGGCATTTTCCATTTTTGACGTTACCTGTACCTTTGGACATCAATGGTTTGATGTAGCAGGCAATAATCTCACTGATAGGGGATGCGTAGTGGGTCTTTCATTCTTCTTTACCGAACTACATTTAAATTTCTACTAACTCTTTGTCAAATGATCGCGTACACGCTGTGCCAAACTGTGAAGACACCCATAAACCCATTGTGCGTAACATTCAAGACTAAGTCAAGCTTAATTTGCGCACACTATTGATGGCGTGAAAAAATTTGCCGGATCGGTGTGAGGAGCTTACCCTGTAGGTGTATTCTGCTGTCGTTGACTTGACCTGATAGTTCGAAGCGGCAGCTAAAAAGAGGGACGAATCGTTGAGGTCGTGCACACGCACTTTCCATTCGACCAATCCGATCGCAGTTTTGTTGTCCACTTTCACTCGGCTGCTCATTCCCTCTAGCGTCCTGCAAATTTGGGGCAGTCAATAAAAACGAAAACTTACGGTCTAGGATGGACCATTGTGAGCGAAATGCACTCATTTGCTAACTAATGTGGTTTTTGAGAGACTCACCTTGAACCCAGCTGAATCTCTCGTTTGTGATGTTTCCAGGCAACTGAGTGTGCTGCACCAGGCCGCCTTGTGTTTCAGTCGCTACGATATTCGAGATATCGCGATACATGTTTATTCGTAATGCACTACTCATAAGGTTGCTGACGATGACCCGCTTTATTTGGTACTCTTTTTTGAAACAATTCCTACTGCAATGGGTTGGCCTTGTTTCTTGCCTTGTGAGCTCTGGATGGCCCCGTGACTAGGGCGCAAACTTACTGAGTGGAAGGTGCGTTGTTCGAAACTAACGTCTGCACCTCTACTGCTTATGTTTAGGTCTCGGCAACCTGACAGTATTTCAGCCGTCGTGTTTCCTTCGGGTTGCATGATAGCTATGCACCTAAAGGGTGTTGTAACTGAA